GTGTGGTGGATGCGGGTGCCGAGAGGGCGGGGAAAGGGCGGGGAATTGGGTGATGCTGAGCTCTGCTGGGGCGGCCGTGGTTCACAGCAACACGCCCCAGGTGAGTGGCAGCTGCACGCTGCTGCCGTGCCCCTGCACCGCACAAGACGCTCGCGCGTGCGCTCGCGTCCCACCCCTCCTGACCAGTCAAGCCTGCCCCTCCTTCCTCACCTTCGATAAACATCTGCACCTGCGCCTCAGTGGCCGCCACGCCCCTGGCCGCCAGGGCCTTGGCGATCTCGCCGGCAGTCAGCTTGCCGTCGCTGTCCGTGTCAAACTGCGTTGTGACAGGGGGGGGGGGCAGGGGGGCAGGAGGGTCGGCTTGGAGCGGCTAGCAGGGGGGGAGGGAGGGCGCGGGCGAGCCCACACGCCGGCGCGAAGATGCGAGGAGCCAGGGCTGGCGTTCCAGGCAGCTGCATCGCGGCCAGCCAGGGGGCGCCGCCGCTGCCGACAGCTCATCGACAGCATGGCCCAGTGCTAAGCGTAGGGCGCGCCCAATCCCCTGTGCGAAAAGCGCCCCAGCCTATTGACCTGCAGCTCGTCCCGCCCGACCACCCCCCAACCACCCCCAAATGGAAGAATGCGTGCTCCAGCCCCAGCAATCCCCCACTGCGTGCCCCACCCCACCCCCTCGCCTCGTTGAAGATGTGGTCCAGGGGATCGGCGTAGGTCTGGCTGGGAATGCTGCGGCGGCGGTTCCAGATCGACGCGGCAAACTCCTGCGGCCGCGGTTGCATGTTGGGTGCGCATGCGTGCGCGTGAGCGCAGGGGTCAGGGCCGCGTTCAAGATTACCCGCTGCTGCTGCTGCTGCTGCTGCTCGCGGAGCCTTGGTGCTGGGCATGCCAGCTTGGCGAATTGACCAGTTCCACTGCAGGCCCGCCATCCCCAATCAACAGCCGGCCCATGTGTGTGGGTGTAGGCCGCTGGAGCAGTCGAGCTGCGCCCGTGCTGTGCCAGACACCCAGGGTCGGCCAACAGCCCCGCCGCAGGAATGACCAAAAGCCCCAGCAGCGGAGGCAGTTGCACACTTTGCGACTCCCAGCACCCAAAAAACCCGCAAGCCGCACGACACCACCGGGGGCGTCGCGCGGCCAGCCGCGTCACCGCCCCTGCCCCTGCCCCTGATGTGTGCCGCACCTGCATGCCGGGGATGCTCATGGCGCGGGGCCGCGCGGCCTCAAAGGCGTGCAGGAAGGCCTGGTGACTCACGTCCTTCTCCTCCTGGAACCCGGGGTACAGCGGCTGAGACGGGTCCGGGTGCACCGCGCCCTCGCCCCCAGCGGGGCCCCCAACCAGCCCCTTGCCCGCGGAGTGGGGCACGACGGCGATCGTCGCGCGCCGCGCGGAGGGCGCCGTGACGGCGGCGCGGGGCGGCGGGCGCGACGGGCCGGGGCCGGCGACCGCCGCGAAGGACGTGCTGCAGAGGTGGCGACAGAACATAGCTGCTGCTGCTGCTGCTGCTGCTGCTGCTGCTTGGTCTTTTCCAAGCACGTGCCGCCGAAGCTGCAACCTCCCCGCTGGCGCTCTGTGCAACTGTTGCTGTTGGGTAACGCTGTTGGCGCTGCACGCGTGTTGCGGCTGCTGCTACGCTGCGGGATCAGAAATGCACTTCTTTTGATAAAGTGTGCCTCCTGTGCTGCCGCAATGTCCTGCGGCGGGCGCATGAGTGTGCAGTGCTCGTGGGCGGCGGCCAGCAACTTGTGCTTGGGCGAAGGGCTCATTCTGGCGCGAGAAGGTCCTCGAGTTGCGCTGCAGGAACAGAAAAATCTCAGCCTCCAAGCAGGTTCTGCTGTCCATCCAGCTGGCCAATCAAGCATGGCTGTGCAGCGAAAGGGCCCTTGCAGGGCGCGGCACAAGAAGTAGGTGGGAAAGACCTACCCTGCCCGAGACAATCCAAAAAGCTTGAAACGATGTGCTGAGTGCGTTTCAAGCTTGATGGCTGCAAGGCAAGTTGCGCCGTCCCAGGAGGATGCGGGGGAGGACGAGTGCTCGTTGATCAGATTGCAGTTTATGGGTTGTGTAAGTCTGTCGGCATGCATGTGAGTTATGCGTGTATCTGGTGAGGATAAGTGGGCTTTCCCGCCAGCGATGCGACATGCACGCCCCGTCAGCACCCTGCTTCTTGTTGGCTTGGCGGCCGCTCGCAGTGGAGCCATGCAGTGACGGTTTGCTCTCAACCCTGAGAACCTTGGGCATGCCGCCCTGCCGGCGGGATTATAAATTGCATCTATGCTGGGTTGACTGGCATCTGGGGGACCTGCAAAACTATGTGCAGTCCAGCGCTGCCAACTGGGTGGATGGGGCGTGCACCGGCTGGCACAGCTGGCAAGCAGACCACATGCGTGATGCGCGGAAGTACCAGCACTACAGCACCCTGTAGGCCATGCGCAACCGCCATGCCGCATCGTGGGTCCTGTGAAGCTGCTGGAACTCGGAACATGAAGCACGGAGGATGAGCGAGCGAGGCCGCCCTCGACATTCATCCCACCACTGGCCCACTGCGGCCCAGCCGGTGGCGTCGCCCGGCGGGCGGCGGGGGGAGGGGGGCATCCAGTACCAGGGCCTTCTCATAAAGCTGCAAGCCGAAGCGCTTTCCCGGCGTACAACATGATAGGATGCCAGGACATCAAGACTAGGTGCTGTTCTTGGAATAGACGGGTACCCGACTGATGGAAATCTGAGCGAATCGTGGGGTTTCTGCCACGCCTGTGTCTCATGAGAAAGACACGATGTCGATGGGATGGCCTGTGACCTTGTCTTACAAGACGCGTCATGGGGCCGCCCAGACCTTGATGGCGCAGTCTGGCTCCTGCCCCCCCGTCACCACCAGCGGCCGCGTCGGGTGCGCTGCGATGCAGAGCGCGGCCGCACCGTGCCCCTGCCCGCCCGCCGCTGCCCCCAGCTCCCGCTGCAGCAGCTTGCGGCTGTTGAGCCCCCAGACACACAGGGACCCGTCCTCCCCGCCACTCGCTACCGCCGAGACGGCCGGCGCCGCCGGCCCGCCCCTCCCCTCCTCGCGCGCCCCCGCGTCTGCCGCCGCGTCCGTGTCCATGGCATCCCCAGCCCCCTGCGCCTCCGGCAGGCCCGCCACGAAGGCGGCGCCGCAGCAGAAGTCCTCGTTCCTGTGGCCCGCGTAGGTCTTGGCGCAGCGGCCGGTCTCGAGGTGCACCAGGCGCAGGCGACTGTCCAGGGTGGCCTGCAGGTAGTACTGGGCTGCGGTTAGGGACACATGCATGTGCGGGGGTGTATGTGTGTTCAGGAGGGGGGAGAAGGGAAAGGGGGTGATGACCTGATGTGACCGACGAAAAACGTGCATGCGTTTGAATGGTGCAGCACGGTTAGCGCAGGGGGCGAGCTGAACGGTGAATGCTGGGCTGTGTGCTCGCAAACAAGGCGCTGGCAACAGGGCAGGGTCGCACGCTTTCCCACGCCTCAAGCCGCGGCTGCCGCCACCCCCCGCGTCCCGGTGCGCTCACCATTGTGCGAGAGCGACACGTCGTTGACGGGGGCGCTGGTCGCGCTGCTGGCGTAGCTGCGCAGGCAGTGGCCGTTGCGCGCGTCCCACACGCGCACGAGGCCGTCGAACGAGCCCGACACCAGCAGCGTGCCGTCGTAGCTGAAGGACAGGCAGGTCACTGGGTCGCTGTGGGCGGGCGTCTCCCGCAGCAGGCGGCCGACGCGGACGTCCCAGAACCGCAGCGTCTCGTCAAAGCTGCCCGTGGCCTGCGGGACAGGAGAGCGGGGCGGGGGCCGGGGGGGTCGCCAGTTGTGTGGGAAGGGACACTGGTCAGTGCCAGCGAACGCTTGTGGCCAGGGCGGCGGCCAGCCTGCCAGCAGCTGCCGCGGCGAGCGTGAGCGCTTCCCACAACCGCTAGGCTCCTGTCGTCCTGCACCGCTGCTGGTGCTACAAACAGGAAGCAGTTCGGCCTGCCAACGCTGGACTCCCCAGCTGGTCTCCTCAGGCCGGCATGCCTGACGGCCTGCTCAGCCCGCGACAATGCGACACCCCCAGTGTTTGCAAGGGCTCAGCGCTCACCAGCACCCGCCCTGCGGGGTCGAACTGGCAGCAGTAGGCGTAGTTGGTGTGGCCCTCCATCTCGCGCAGGCATGCCCCGGTCTCAGCGTCCCACAGCCGCACCACCGTGTCATCGCTTGCGCTTGCCAAATAGTTCCCCAGCGGACTCCATGCCACGTCGTTCACGCCCGACGTGTGCTGCAGCCCTCCAGGCGCCGACACCTCGCGTGGGCCCGCTGCGTCCGCGACGCCGTCCGCGCAGCTGCTGGCGGGGTCGCTTTCACTGCTTGTGCTGCTGCTGAGGCGCCACACCCGTACACTCCTGTCTGCTGATGCAGACGCGAGCAGGCTGCTGTCCACTGGCGAAAACTTCAGCGATGATACAGCGCGCGTGTGGCCTGTGAGGGTGTTTCGCAGGCGCAGGGGCCCGTGCACCGCCTCGGGCGATGGCTCTGCCCCAGCTGTGGCATTTGTGCCGAGCCCGCCTTCATCCGGGTGCCCGTTCGCCATGCCCGCACGCGGCTAGTCGCACGTTCTGATTTGTATTTCCTACTGGCAGCAACGTAGCAAGGAACGGGTGACTGAATTTCAAGCAAAGCGCGTCGATCTCGTGATCTCGCCACCATAACACAGTTACAGGCGAACACAATAACCACATTACTGTCGTGCGATTGCGCAGCTGTTCGTCCAAGCATGGCATGGTTACCAGTTCTCCCCAAGTAGTTTGTATCAGTCACAGCTCGTTCGTGCAGGCTGTAGCACCTATGATAAACGCAACATACGTAGGCTTAAGAACCTGCAGCTTGGGCATGGCAGAGGCCATCATACCACGAGCAATACAAGGCTCACTTGCTGACACAGCCATTGACCAGGTCCCGGCCAACTTGCTCTTGTTGGCCGCGTCAATGCGAGCAATTCTGAATCAGACGTATAAATCACCATCCAATCAGTTTCTCCTCCAGACACCATCGTGCTGACGGTCTACCTTGGTAGCCAACAGGGGGCGGGAGTGGCGCGTTTGAAGCAGCCAGATGACAATGGTGCGTGCACACTGGGCGCGTGTGTGGGCTCGTACCATGTATGTACGCGCGCACATGCACGTGTCAGCTTGTCCACTTTCATGTGCGCATTAGTGTGTTCGTGCGTGCATTTGTGCATGCATGTCCCCACACGTGCCCATGCATTTTTTGCCACATCTGCAATTGGGTGTCCATACGGTGCAATGTTGGCATCTGGAGACGGGCAGGTGTAGAGCAATCCAGGGTCACAGGACCTTGATGATACTGCAGGGGTACAGTTTTCGCAGATGGGAGGCGGCACCTGTCTGCGTGAGAAGGGGACTCCGTGTACGGTGGTGGGCAAGTGCACGGCGTCGTTCAATTCGCAAGGTGCTGCCTCGCCCACCGCAAGCACGCAAGCGCGTGGGCGCATATGGCTTAGATCAGAAGCTTTTCAGGCATGGTCACACCCTCCAGGCGTACAGCCAACATGTTTGGGCGGGGCCCGCTCGCCCTCTGGAATGTGAAGTGTGAACAGCGCGGAGCGCCCTGTCGATCGGGCCGAGACTTTGGATGCATTAAACAAGTATGCCGGAGTCGGAATCATCAGATACTGAACACAGCTTCGCCCTGAACTGCTTGAAGTCAACTTTCCGCGTGCCCCTTGCGTCGGCTCGCCGTCCTGTGGCTATAGCACGCAATTTGTGCGTTTTTAACCTCAAGCCCGACCGCATGGCAGCCGATCAGGCGAGCGGCGGGGCCAGGCGCACGTGGGATGTGCGCAGCCCGACAGGCGCTGCAGCGGGATGCCGACCGCATATGTTGGGCACATATGCATCCCCTTCCAGCCGTTCAGCTTCTCAGCAGACTCTTATGCGTCAGAGAGCGACTTGAGGCAGCTGCGTTGTGTGCTGTGCCTGAGAGGCGCCGACCGATGACCATGCAGTTGCACCTTGTTGCTCGCATGCGTGCGCAGGCCAAGTCCGCTCTGGCTATCGAAAAGGAGCAGGAGGCACTGCTGGCCAAGAAGTATGGTGGCCTGTTGAAACGCAAGCAGCCGCTCATGCCCAAGGTGCAAAGCCGCGCAATTGGCCGTCGCCGCCCGGCGCCCCCAGGGCGCCGTCCATGGGTTGGCGCTGCACGCAGTCCTGCACTCATGCGCTGCATTGCCTCGACCCATATCGCTTGATCCGGCAACAGCTCTTGCCTGCGCATCACGACTGTGCAACCCTTGATCACCTTCCAACAGGAGCACAAGTATTTCGACAGTGCAGACTGGTGCGGAAGGGGAGGGGGCCGCGCGGATCAAGGCGCAGCTGCTGCCTGGCTGCACACCGTCGTCCCTGCCTGCGGTGGCATGATTGCAGGGACGCGGGGTTGCTCGCATGAAAATCCATCCAGCCTTGGGCTCCAGCCTGCAAACCTTTGCACGTCCCAATTGATTACACACCAGGGCTCTGGCTAAGGAGGGCAAGGGGCAGCTCGGCGGCCCCACCGTGTCAATGGAGGAGGCGCTGCCGCCGCGCACCTCGCCGGTTGGGCCCGCAACCATCACTTCACATCGGGCGGCTTCCAAGCTGGAGGGCGCAGTAGCGGACCCCATGGCTTGATGAGGGTGCTGGTTTTGTGCCGCATGCCGCAGCCCCGCCCCTTGGGCGTGTGCTGAGGCGATGTGCAGCGCGTTGTGTGCGGGCATTCGGAGGTCGGACGAGGCAGCTGCCCAGCACGTGGCGTATTTGGGCCATTGCATTTGCAGCGGTCTGAGCTGCCGCACCACCGTGATGCAGTCTCAAACACACTGGTGCTCTGCACACAATTAGCACAGTCCACTGCTAAATTAGTTGAGTGTTTATGACATTTGGACAGGTGATTGAATGTGCCTCATGCCCCCGCGTCCTTGGATCATGTTGCGCCGCACCTGGCTGCTGCGCAAGTGCTGTGCATGCAGAGGGTAATGTGCTGCTCTCATCAACGTGACAAAATGTCGGTGATCCTGATGACCTGCATGTCATCATCTCGTGTGCTGTCTGTGTTGAGGCGTCAACTGCCAGTGAGGCGGCAGCAAGCCATCATAGCCGCCCCAATCCCCGTGGGCTTCGTTGCTGCAGGACAGGCGGGATGGCTCATTGGGGCAGTGCCCTGTTGGTGCACCCGCTGCCGTTGCACCGCAGCTGACGCAACACCGGGAAAACGCGATTACCCTGCCACCAGGAGCGCTGAAACACACTGGGGCAGCATACAAGGCACAAAGCAATTGAGCTGCGGGGCGGCGCCGGTCGGCCAGCTACTACCGCATGCGGTACTGCTGCGTGCGGTGTGCCTCGCAGTTGCGCCCCTCAAAGTCGTACTGCAGCGAGATGTCCTGCGGGGCGGGACACAGGGGCCAACGTGAGGGGTGTGGGGGGCGGGTGATGAGCTCAGCAGGTACCCAGACATCCGGGCAGGCCGGTCAATGAGTAGTCAAAAAGCGCCTCCCAAGTAGAGCACGGGTGGATGGTCTTGGGGCGGATCAACAATCTTGAACTTGCAGTTTCTCCAAGCTACATAATTCGAATGAGTAGCCGCCACCGTGTTGGGCCCGTTCCTGCCGCCCCGGCCCTCCGTCACGGATGCACCCACCAGGTCCCGGGGATTTTTCGCGTTGGGCTTGCAGGTGTAGGTGCCCGACAGCTCCTCGCCCTCGCACACCGTGAGCGTGTCCTCCAGGTAGAAGACGGTCTGCTTCCAGTGGGTCACGCGCGACGAGGGGGACGTGCTGAACCGCACGGGCTTGTGGCACGCCCCGAACGACACGTCAAAGTAGGCCACCTGGCGGGAGGGGGGCGGGCGGCGGGGCGGACGGGCGAGTTTGAACACTGCTCGGAGCCGCATGGCACCGAGGGCGCGCTGCCGTCCCTCCTGCTGCTGGGAACAAGCGCCTTTTCTGGAGGCCAGGGTCTTGGCTGCGCGGCCTCGGGGCCTTTTATCACCCCTGGCCTCCTGCTGCCCGGCGTGTCCTCTGCCGCAATCCCCTGGCCCCCCAGGCCCCCACCAGCGCGTGCACAAAGTCGTTCTTGGTGGCTCTGAGCTTGAAGGGCGCGGTGAAGGCGGCGTCCTCCTTGGACATGGTGGTGATGTCAAAGGTGCGCAGCAGCGCCTCGTTGGCCACTACCTGGGGGGGGGGGAGAGGGAGGAAGAGGGGAGGCGGTGAGATCGCAGGGTGGGCAGGCAGATAGCAGAGAGCACTCCATGGCGGGCCCCATGCTGTGGCGCACGGCGGCGCATTCCTCAGCCGCACCATCGCGTCTGCGAGGATATTCGTGCCCACGCCCTGACCAATCAGATGACACGGCAGGCACTCAGCTGCACCACACGCAGCGATTCTCCCCCCAGCACGCATCTCCTGCGCGCCTGGTCTGGGTTGACGCTGTCCACCAGGGGCTCCGCCAGGGCCAGCTCCTTGATGACGCGCATGTTGAAGCCGTAGCTGG